TGGGCTTCTACAGGCTGAGCATGTAAGAAATCAAAAGCAGGAGAAAATACAACTCGACAGCCTCTCCATGCAGAATGCTGAAAGGTACTCCGAGTTGTTCTTCAACGGTTAAGGGCTGTGGGATTCCAAACGGCCAGATCTGTGCAAAGCGGTTTCATTCAACACTTAGCTTACCCTGGTCCTTTGGATCAAAGGAAGTTTCCAGAGAAAGAACAGCAAAGTCAGCACCTTCATGCCCAAATTCAAGATACCAGGGTGAACAGAACCATCTGTACCTTTTTATTGAACTGGGGAAAGTGGCAGACGAGGAACTGGCAGCTACATCTGTTGTTGAGAATTTATTAAGCTGGCGTACACCTATATAGAACCTTGGAGTTTATTTTTTTCTTATGACTGACACATGCTATAATGATATCCTACATTTAATAGAACACAATAGGAGTGTTCATGTACACCGGGAATGAATTTCACAACCAGACAAATTTCTGAGAGTGGGGAGAATAGACAAGCAAGTCCTAGAAGCAAGTATTCAGCAGCTAAAAGAGCTGCTAAAATAATTGAAACAGGATATTTTTATGTGTCTTGAAAGAAGTATTGAAAACACTATGCATTATTTATTTTTTAAATGGTGTATTTTTTTATTGTGTCAGCTAAAAACATTTTCTTCTTACTGCTGAGAAAACGAGGAGTACCACAACAGAAACAATCCTTCACAGAATCAAAGATGTGAGAAACAGAGATGGCTGATTACGGTGTCTCGATTCCACATTCTCACCCAAAGATTGCACTCTGTGGTACATTTGCGTGATCTAAGTTCAAGGGAACAGAAACCAAATACGAAGAATTGGAAAAACTGACTTTCAATCATTTGTTTTGCAGCTTTGACTTTCAATCCTTCTCTATGTTAACTGTATAGCCCTTGAAGAATTCAAGCTAATAATATCTTTGAAATTAAAGACGACAAAATCTTAATACGGAAGGCAGGATGATTAAGGAGGAGACAATTACAGCACTATTTGGGCTATTATTTTAAGTTCCTGCAAAAAAAACGCCCAAAATAGCAGTGGCTTAAACACTTGGTTATATATATTTCTCTTTGCATGTCCAAAGTTCTTCTTCTGATAAGGAAACCAGTCAGATTGGATTAGGGCCCACCCTAATAATCTCATTTGAACTTAATCCCTATGTCAAATACAATCACAATCCAAGATACTGGGGTTTAGGGCTTCAATATATGAACTTTGGGAGAGAAACAACTCAGCCCGTAATAGACAAGTGTGATATAAGCACTAAACATATATTGTTGGCTTCTCGTTCTTCAGCCAAAGAATGGATTCTTGTTCTGAGTCTACTTTCTCCCACTCCAGGTCTGCCTGGATTGAGGAGAAGTCCAATACTGGCTTCATCACACCACATTCTCCAGGCTACAATAGTAGGTGCAGGAACTAATCCAATCAGAGAGGATCTCAGGAATTCTGTAGGAATGAGTGGAATGGGGTTTTCTGTTTCTGGCTAGACTTTAATCCATGAGGTTGTATTGCAGTCAACTTGTCATCACTGGGGGAGAGCCTAGAATGGGGTGATGGAAGGCATGGTACACCACATAGACCCTAACCATTGCATCAGTCCCACTGAAGGAAGCCACAGGAATTGGAGAGAAAAAAAGTTATTGACATCATGTGAATCCTGAACCCAACCCCATGCCTGAAACCAGCATGACCCTCCAATTTTTCAGCTATGTTTTCTAAAGTGAATTTGGGTTGGCTTCTTTCTCTTGGAGCTGAAGAAGTCCTAACCAATCTCATACATACCCTACATTATGGAGATGTATGGAGATGTAAACTTCCTGGGTTGTTGCATTGGCATTTCCTTTCCTAGAAACAAGAGGAAAAAAGAATGGACAACATGTCCATGTTATAGAACAAGTTTAGGCATTAGATGTGCTGCTCAAACTTCACTGTAAAAGTCACCTTGACTTCTTTGAAGCCACGTGAGATCAAGATCCCCATCTTTCTGGTAAGTAGCAGGCATCCCACTCACCAAACGTTAAGACATCCATGCCTCATGATAGTAAGACATTCTGAGGACCATTTTTGCCCCCCTGAAATGGTCAGTGCTTCTATAATTCTCCCTGGAGAGTTCATAATAAGCTACAATTCTCTACAAAGCATAGCATCATGTTATTCTCTCATTCGAAGTCAACATTTTGGCAGGGGGCTTTAGGCACATTGAAACCACCTTTCCAGAAACCTCCAAATCAAGGATACTTCCTGAAAATTGAATATGCAATATTGTGCACACATTTCTAGCCTGTTGCTTTGGAAACTTCATGAAGATAAATGTCATTGGCACCTCAGTGCTGCACTCAACTGGCAGGACAAGCCATTCTTGTACGAGCCAAGCCCTGAGTGTACATTATGGGAGGATGTTTATTTATGAGGTACTTCAGCTCAGTCAGAGTGCTACCTTGGCATTGTCAGAGTCTCTAGGAGAAGGAAAGTCCAAAGCAGTTGGCTTCTACAGACTCAACGACAATAAAAAATAAAATAAAAATGAAGTCCTAGAGTCTCTGCATAATATATATGTGCTAGAGAGAAAACACACCCATTAAACTGCAGCCTTTCAGAGCATGATGTCACAAGTCAGATCCTATTAAAGGAAGCAGAAGATGAATGTTTGCTCCAGGCAGCTGGAAGGAGTCAAAAAGAAAATACATTGTAAATCTTTCTACTGCGTGCCTAAATTGTAAAAGATGAGTTTCAGCATCATGCAGACTTCTTCCAATGAATAACTGCTTCCCAAAGAAGAAATTCCAAGCAGCCAGTAAATATAACATATGAATAATCTAATTAGCAGACGGAGACGTATGTAATACAGTTTATTCCCCCAAATTGAAACCTGAATGAATTTTGGTATCTGAAGAGGGATCAGGGAGGTGGTGGAATTCGCACCAGGCAAAGCCGACGAGTAGGGAATTCACAAGAATAACTTGATTCACGCAAGCACTCCAACTGAATACATCATTTTCTTTAATAGTGGGGATGCACTTGTGATATTTCCCCCCAACTGGACTGTGTGTATGATTACTCCACCTTTCCACTTCATTTAGGCACCTCCTTGGACCTAGAGCATTGGTTCCATTATCATTGGTTAGTGGCATTTTATTTGGGAAAGCCTTAAACAGATACAAATTAAGAATGACATTGGGCCTGCCCTCCAGCACAATTTCATAGGCACACACAGAGATAAGGCATGCACCCCACACCACTAGTGTGTCTCAAGAGAAGGAGGCCTGCTGGGGAGGAAAGAAGGGCTTCCAGTAGCCCGATACATGGTGGAGGGAAATTCTCTTTGGAATAGGACCAAGAACCAAAAATCAGAGCTACTATATAATTTCAAAATATTGCTAAATGTCTGTCGTATATTATACACATAGACATCTGCATACATCTGGGCAGACAGCCACGGCGTATGTGTTTCCTTCCATGAGTGCACCACTATGATATATGCTATAAAGCGGCTTAGGTGAATGAGAAGCAAAAGGAACCCAAAGAGTGTGGGCAGGAAGAAGAGGAACATAAAGGAACAAGGTGAAAAGGAAATACAGGGAGAATGGAAGTGCTAAGAAAAGGATAGGGATGGAAAATGGCAAAGTTGTCAGCAGGCTTTATTAAGCATTGTTTGGCATGTCTCCAAATTAGAAACCCACACTCTATTGAGTTGAAATTAATGAATGACTGCCATACTGAATTGCAGAGATATTGAATATTGGACAGAAGGTTAGTTTGAATTTAGAGTGGGTAATTAATGTTCCAATTTATCATTCTAAGATAACAGAATCATCCCCTAGATATATTGATTGACCTTAACATCTTTTGGGAGGAGGAATTCTGCATTATAGATTTTCATATAACATTGATTACAACAACTTTCTAGATATCAGCCTTCAGATTTTTAGAGTGGCGGTTACAAGAGGAGATTCAGAGGGTCTATTGTTTGCAAAACTCCCAAAGATTATCCTAGCAAGTCCAGAAGTATTTTTTAAGTAATAATAACATTAAAACATTAATAAACTATAAAGATTTACTATATAATATTTGATAAAAGAGTAACATATGTGAGAATATGTCAAAAAACAAAATAGCAATGATAAAATATTCAAACCCCATATTTGGAAATCATCTACTGACTCAGGTGGGAAGAAACGCTACAAACCATCTCACCCAGGCATGACAAATATTCTTCAAATTCCTTGTCAAATTTATCTGATTCCGAGTCATGGTCTGTGTTGAGATGGATTCTGAGGTTAATGGAAAATGTTTTTCCTTTACTCACACCACTTGATGCCAAACGTGGGTTTTTCCTTACACTGACAAATTCTCCAGCACCAGCTGGATGTCCTACAATTCAATTCAACTCTGACACTTTCTACCTGGAGTTAACATCAGATCCCACAATTTAAGGGCTCAATCCCAAAAGACTGAACGCACTTCGGATGTTCATTGCATCTGACAGAGCAGCTATAAATCAGGAGTTCCCACGACCCCCTCCTCAGGTTCAACAATTTGCTATAACAGCTCACAAAACTTAGGGAAACCCTTACTTACGTTTACCAGTTTATTATATAATAAAGGACATTATAAAAGATAGAGGTGAACAGCCAGATGAAGAGGTACATAGGGCAGGGTCAAAAAGTGTCCCAAGCACGGGAGCTTCTGTCCCTGTGGAGTTGGGGTGTTTCACCCTCTTGGCACATGGATGTGTTCACCAGCCTGGAAGCTCTCTGAACACTGCACTTTAGGGATTTTTATGGAGGTTTCATCACGTAGGCATAACTGATTATTAACTCCATCTCCTGCCCCACTCCTCTCCCCAGAGGATGGGGAGTGGGTCTGAGAGTTCCAAGCTTCTAATCATGCTTAGTCTTTCTGGTAAATAGCCTCATCCTGAAGCTATCCAGGAATCACCTCATTAAAACAAAAGATGCTCCTGTTACCCAGGAAATTCCAAGAGATTTAGGAGTTCTGTGTAAGACACTCCTGTCACCCCCATCACTCAAGAAATTACAAGGGTTGTAGGAGCTCTGCATCGGGAACCAGAGTCAAAGACCAAATATTAGAACAAAAGATGCTCCTAGCACCTCTATCCCTCAGGGGATTACAAAAGTTTTAGGAGCCCTATGTCAGGAACCGTGGGCAGAGATCAATACATATATTCCTTATAATTTGACAGAGGCTCAGGAGGAAAGAATATATTCATGAATATGGGGAAGGTGACACCCCCACCTCATCCACAATTACACACATATTTCTGTTAAAGATAAAGAAAGTGAAGCCCTTACCTTCAGAGAGGTTGAATAATTTGCACAATGCTACAAAGTGAATTACTAGAAACTCCATTATAAGATCCAAAATTTCTTGATATTCTTACCATCATCTGTATGGCATTTTTTGCCAAGTCATGTTGGCTCCTAAGCTGATAGTCTGGTACATTTAATACACAGTTGGATCAAAAATGAAATCAACTGAACACTTAACACTGCAGATGGCCCATTATGAGCAACGTAGTAAGTTATGAAAATTTGACCCAACCAAACTGAATAAAACACAATCTCACTAGACAAAATGGTTACCAAGAATCTTTTCAAGTTATCATCTTGATGTAATCAATTTTTAGAGTGCCTGCTTGTTTAATAACGTGTTCCAATATATTCCAGTGATTGATCTCAAACGTTGTGGTCTATGGTTCCCAGAAGTAAAAATTTACCATCTTTTAGAATATTAGTACACATCTGTGTCCAAATTTGATCCTTCACTCAGCCAATACTATCTGTTGTGGATTGATGACAGTGGTTCCTTAGGTCATAACTCCAGGTTTTTCAGTGTGTTAGCACACTTCATTTAATAGTAGAGAATGTCATCATCACATTTAAAGTGACTAAGTGATCTCCTATTTCAGGGTCAGCAACTACAGCCCAAGGGCCAACTCTGGCCCAACATATATTTTTACAGGGCTCAAAAACTAAAAATGTTTTTTAAAAAATATTTTTAAATGGTTAAAAAAATTAAAAGTAGAATAACGTTACATGATGAGAAAATTACATGAAATTCAAATTTCAGGGTCCATGAATTAAGTTCTATTAGAACGCAGCCACACTCCTTCATTTATGTCTTACATGTGCTACATGTACATGTAATACATAAATGCTACAACAGCAGAGCTAAGTAGTTGCCACAGAGACCAGAAGGCTCCCAAAGCCAAATATGTATGCTCTAGGCCTTTACAGAAAACCTGTGCCAACCCCTGACTTATCTTCATGTTGTAATATGTCTTTAATTCTCCCCTTAATGGTGCTTGCTTGATACTTACAGATTGAAGATCAGATTTCTTGGTAAAGAAGACTGAGACAAAATGAAGATTGAATGGCTATGCCATCATTTAACTTTTTACTATGCCCCAAGTAGATGTGCCATTTTCTTCCAGTTCATCTTCTTGTTTGGCTTACCACTATAAAGCATTTTTCCCTTGAGATAATATTTCCACAAGCTTTAATGCATCATGACCTTTAGCCTTCCTAAAAATATTCCTGTAGGTCTGTGATGTTTTTTCTTTTGTATTCGGTCTTGGTTATGCTCTTCTACCTCCATTCTCTGCACATGTTCATGAAGACATCAGAAATCTACCTCCCAAACACATTGGCTTTTTCAGATATTTCTCTCCCATTTGACCAGATAATCACATATTAAGTTTAAATAACTGATTGCCCTTTTTTGTAGTGCCAGTATGTTTTAGAAACTCTTTTCAAATGATTTTACTATTTCTATTCTTTTTTTTTTTTTTTTTTTTTTTTTTTTTTTTTTTTTTTTTTGTGAGGAACATCAGCCCTGTGCTAACATCCACCAATCCTCCTCTTTTTTTGCTGAGGAAGACGGCCCTGGGCTAAAATCCGTGCCCATCCTCCTCCACTTTATATGGGACGCCGCCACAGCATGGCTTGCCAAAGCAGTGCGTCGGTGCGCGCCCGGGATCCGAACCAGCGAACCCCGGGCCGCCGCAGCGGAGCGCGCGCACCCAACCGCTTGCGCCACCGGGCCGGCCCCTATTTCTATTCTTTTTAAATCTGATTTTGTAAAGGCAAATGTGGGGATCCAACTCATGTGACACCAGCTCTCCACTCTGTAATTCTTCAACGATTGCAGAAGTTGCTAAAAGATGAATGTGCTCTTCAACAAGCCCCCAGCCCCCAGTCCCCGTGTGATCTTAGACCTCTGTCTGAGTAGGAGATTAAGAGACCAATCAGAGTCAGGAACCACTCCAGGGTTAGTCTCATACTTCTCATTTCTGAGAAGCATAAATCCCTTATTCAAAACTGAAATTCAGCCATTTCCTTCTGTGAAGGGACTGACAGTATTTATTGAAAGTTGCAAGGTTTCTGAATTACACATCTTGTTCACTAAAGTTCTATATCCTCAAGAGTTAAAAAAAAATATGGGAAAAATGCCTCCTCAGGACTTGCTATGTAGTCAGTGGAAATTTTAAAAATCAAAATGTAATTTGTTAGAAATATAAACTTTATCTTTCAGTGTAAGAACATGAAAAAATGCATTCTGATAAGAGACTTCTTCCAGATTGCAAATGTATTTTCTGGTGAAGAAGAAAGAAGATGTTTGAGAAGAAATTGATCCAGACTCTCAAATAATTCCTGAGAAAAGAAGTCACCTAGTCACCCATCTGAGGAGTGTATTATCTGTCTTGTACAACATTCCAGAAAGAATTAATGACGAAGCTTCCTTTTTCCTTTTTTAAAATATGTCTACTATAAGTAGATATGTCATACATTCACTAAAAAAATACATAGAGCAAAATTCTTATCTATTAGTTGAACATAAGAAATTGCCAATATTTGACAATTTTTGACCATCACAAACTGTAATTTCACATGTTTAAACCTAACATTTTAGAATGACCCAAGTTTCAAATATAATCAAACATAAAATCATTATGAACTAGGGTCAAGGTGAGAAATCCTGATGACAGCAATATTGAAATAGACTTTCTTAACCAAAGAATAACTTTGGAAGCCCTGCTTGCTAACAGTGTTTTTTTTAAAAATCCCATCTTCATTCATTAGGACTAAACAGACCCCTTGACTATCAGTTTAATTATTCCACATAACAGTTTAAAAGAATTACAAAGATCTAGGTTTATTTGGGTGCCCCAGTTTAGGTTCTTTGAAATATACCCTAAAAAAGTGATGACAGGCCTTCAGATAAGGTTGTATCCTGATGACAATCATGAATCATTCTCCCAGATAGCCACAGAAATAGCCAAGGAACCCAAAGGCAGCTTCAGAGTTAGAAATGAAGAAGGTTGTCATCCAAGTATCTGGAATTCTTGGAAACTATTGTGAGACAGTACATGCAATAAACTATAGGAGTCTTAGAAAACCATTCCCTTCTGTGAAAGTGTATATTGCTTGGGATATACTAGAAGGGGATCCTGGAAAAATCTCGTTAACATAAAGTTATATCATGTGCATGCTGAGCTACACAACTTAAACATATTCACTGGACAGAAGATGGACAGAGAGAGAGAGAGCTAGAGGGAGAAAGAAAAAAAGGCATGAAGAGAGGAGGAAAAGAGAGGGGGAAAGGGCTAGATGAACCATAACATCAAAGGAACTGAAATAAAGGGGGTACAATAATGTAAGACCTCTACATTAAAAACTACAGAAGATTACTGAAAGAAATCAAAATTCTAAACAAGTGGGTAGATATACCACTATTATGGGTTGAAAGACTCAATAGTATTACAACAACCCCAATCATAATCCCATTAAGTTTTGTGTGTGTGTGTGGAAATTGAGAAGCTGATTCTAAAATTTATGTGGAAAGTCCAAAGACTTGGACTATCCAAAGAAATCTTGAAAAATAACAAAGAGAACTTATATTATATGACTTTAAGGCTAGAGTACTCAAGACAGTGTATTGGCAAAAGGATAGACAAACAGACCTTCAATTGATTCTGATTCACTTGGTCAGTGAGTCATCTATCCATCTATCCATCCATCCATCCATTCATCATTTATTATAATCCATGCATGGATATACAAAGAAGAATTAGACATGATCTAATTGCCAAACACTTCTCAGTTTAATCGGTGCTTTAAACATGGACAAAATAATTAAAACACAAATATATATACTATATAGAGATAAAGTTACATATATAGTGTTTTTGGGATATAAAGGAAGTAAGAGAAATGTCTTATAGTGTGTCTAGGAAACTGAATAGGCATATAGGATGTGGATAATGGACAGAAGGTACTTCTGAAAGAGGAATTAGCATGGACAAAATGACAGATGCTTGAGACAGCCTGTGATCATGGAGCAACAATGACTTTGAAAAGCCATAAAGAAGTCAGAAAGCAGACAAGGTTAGTAGATAGGATGGCGCTGAGACACCAAAGGCTGTATAGGTCCTCAAAGAAGCTTTATGCAACAGAGAACCATTGTTTTGTTTAGTTTTGTTGTTCATTTGGTTTTACAAGCAGGTGACATACTACAGTTGGTTTTGTACAAAGACAACTTGATTGGAAATGGGGAAGATGAATCAGCAAATTTGCACGGAGTGATTAGAATCAGGAAACCAATTATTCCATTTAATGTGTAAAAATATTCCCCAGGTATATTTTCTCACTTGAACACTGGTAAGACAACTGATAATCACTTAGAACTTCAGAAGAATTTTAATTTCCCTAAAATGTGTTAATGTGTCCCGCCATCAAGAAATGGAATATTGAACGATTGATTATATTTATAAATTATTCTTCCATTGTGCAGCCATCAGAAGGCATTTCTGAAGAATATTCCCATTTGGAGGCTCATAACAAATTTTTAATGTGTCAGGATGCTGTGGTAGGCACTTCTTCCCCAAGCTCCAGCAAAACTTGCTGGAGCAACATGTGTTTACCATTGATGCTTAGAGACAAATACCAGGGAAGAAACACACATGAAAACGTAAAACAATTCAGAAAATAAGCTCAAAATAATTCAATTAATGTTTTCCATTTGCCTTCTGGACCCAGGTTGCTTTTTTGGTATGAAAACTTACATAAATAAGCAATGAAAACATAGAATGTGACTTGGAGCTATCAGTCCCCATATAGACACCAGGGCAAGGAACCATATCTCAAGGGCCATCCCAGTCCTGCTGGACTGGACCAACACAGGCTGTGATATGGAAACAGAATGCATGCTATCTACTGCAGCCAATCTTCAATTATCTGCTCTAGTGGAAAGGATAATCACCTTTCATGTTATATTGTAATTTATATCTTTACATTCTGTCCCAACTAGACTGGTCAGCCCAGGGTAAGAGAAGAAAATCCTCATGAAGTGAAAAAAGCATGAATTTTGAAGACAACATTTAAAGACTTCCTTTACCACTGTAAAGGGCATTTGTTGTTGTGTCTGCTAGTGCTCCTCATCCCTCTTCTGGCTACATCATCCTGATTGTCATGCTATTAACAATCTCTCCTTTACCCGCTGTCCCTGCAGATGGTCCAGGCCCATTCAACCCTTACACTTTCCCAACTCCAGTTCCACAGACGGTCACACAACTCAGATACGATCAATGTTCCTGTTACCGTGGTTGCATAGCAAATCTCCCCCAAATTTAGTGGTTTACGATAACAACGGTATCCCTTTTTGCCCAACTATATGCAATATGGGCAGAGTTCAGTGAGGATAGCTCATCTCTGCTCCACTCAGTGCCAGCTGGGGCAGCTGGAAGGCAGAGGCTGGAATCATCTGAAGTCCTCCTCATGTGTCTGGTAGCTGATGCCTGCTGTCAGCTGACACCTTAACTTTCCTGCCCAGAATACCTACACGTAGCCCATCCATGTGGCCTGGGCTTCCTCGCAACATGGTGGTGGTGGCAAAGGTAGGTGTCGTAAGAGACAGAGACCCAGGTGAAAGCCGTCTCCCTTTTTATGACCTAGGCTTGCAGCATCACTTCCATCACATTTTCTTCATTAAGGCAATCACAAAAACCCACCCGATTTCTAGGAGAAGAGGAATAGACTCTACCTTTCAATAAGGAGTGGAAGGTTCTGGAAGAGCCTACTAGACCCAATTATTGTTGTGGCTGCTTTTGGAAAATGCCAACTGCCACATCAGCATATTGCATCTCTCTGACATTGGTTCAGGAATTGGAATTCCACTGCAACAAGAGTGAATCCTAAGACTTTTCGTGGGACTTTGTGAAATAGTCTTTCTCTATTCTAGATGTGGGGAGAGGCTGAGAGGGATATTGGAGCTTCTGATGAAATGTGCCTGCTGAATCAGCTAATCCAGAGGAACTAAGAAAGACAGAATGACATATATGTAGTAACATGGTCCCTGGGTCTATTCCTGAGCTTTTCAGTTTCACAAACTAACAAATTCATTTTATTTTTTCAATATAGATTGAGGGTTTTCCCCCCCGCATTTGCTTCTAAAGCTTCTTGATTAGTAAAACCATTTACTAGATGAGTAACTTCAAACAAGATAATTAACTTGAGTTTTCATTACTTTCCAGCAAATGGAGGGTACATATCTCTACCACACAGAGTTCTTTTGAGAATATGATGGGAATGCAAACATAGCTTATGTGAATTAGTCATGGAAAATGACCCTCGTTTGCGTGTGCGTCCACAGGAACCACTTTACCTTTGTCAATTCAGGGAACCTGGTCTGAATTATGTAGAAATCCTAAAGACATCGTGATTAATATGGGAACTCTTCTGTACATAACCATAAAACCTCAATTAATCAAGCTACTACAAATGGAACCTAGGTGTAAGATGCCTTGTGTTTGGGAAACCAGGTATGTTTCCTTCATGTGCTAGACCATCAGCTCCGTGGGAGTAAACCTAAAATTTGTCTTCTTCATGCCCATCTCACCAGCACCTGGCACAGTGATTGCTGCAGTGTAGGTACTCACACATCAGTAGGATGGGCTAAGCCCTCAATGAACTCCTTTTTAAAAAATTGTATTTTAGAAGAATAAGATAAATGACAAAAATCAAGCTAGTGTTAGTGATTTACTCAAAATATAACTTCCAAGGGAGCTACTGAACTTTGCATGTCTTCATCACTGTGTCTTCGCTCCTCTTTACCTATAGTCCTGTTCAATGAAAATTCCTCTCTATCATTCATTTAGTGAATTAATACTTTTTGGATATCTGTCATGAGCCAGGCTCTGAAAAGGATTCTGCCAGGGTAATCTCTTAAAAAAACCAGGTTGACTGAAGTTTCACAAACTCATGGCTTAGCTGAATGCACCACATCCATTATTTGGGTGTGTTATGAACTCAGTTGCAACAGTGTTCCAGAGGTTACAAAATGGCTTCCTGCAGGCCATTCCCATCTTGAATCACATTGGTTTGACCCGCACTATGGTAGGTAATAGATACCTTTACTATACGTTGATTGTGATAGGTGGCTATAAATGTTAGGAAATTCCACGTGAAAATCCAGATTCTCAGCTCCTCTTGAAAAATTAAAGATAGGGCAAACTTGTTCCCACATTCCCAAGAGGCAATAATCAGCTGGATCCAGGTAGTGGCTTTCCCTATTCAGATATGAAGTCCTGTAAGCCACCAGCTCACTCCACTCATTTAGCTTAGCTGCCAGCCCCTGTAGGTATTTCAGTTCACAACCCCTCCATACAGGAGCTAATACACTCAGCGGTTAAGCACATGACTGCTGATTTCATAGAGGCCCATACTTGCTTCCCAACTCTTCATTCACTAATTATACATTGTTTTATTTCTCTAAGCCTCAGCTAACTTGTCTCTAAAGTGGCAGGAATAATAGAACCCTATTCAAGGATGCTGAGAAGATTAAATGAGTTAAAACATAAAAATGAACTCATTAGGGACTGTATTAGTCAGCGAGAGCTGCCATAACAAAATATCAGAGACTGAGTGGCTTAAACAACAGAATTTTATTTTCTCACAGTTGGGGAAGCTGAAAGTCCAGGATCAGGGTGCCAGCAGGTTCGGTTTCAGATGAGGCCCCTTTCCTTGGCTTGCAGATGCCCTGTCCTCACAGGGTCTTTCCTCTGTGTGCATGCACTCCTGCTGTCTATTCCTTCTCTTATGAGGTCACCAGTTCTATCGGATCGGGGCCCCACCCTATGACCTCATTTAGCTTTAATTTCCTCCTTAAAGGCCCTATGTCCAAATACAGTCTCATTGGGGGTCAGGGCTTCAACCTATGAAGGAAGTGGGACGCAATTCGGTCCATAACAGGCACTTACACAAATTAGCTTAAAGCAATATGGAAAACATTTTACTACACATTTTACAGAAAAAGAAACAGAGGCAGGGGAACAAAATTGTCTTTCTAACATCATACAGACAGGAAGCGGAGGAAATGGGGTTAAAGCAGGTCAGTCGGGCTCCAAATTCCTTCCTCTCCATGAGGCTGTCCAACAAGCTCTCATCTCTGTATTTTCCATTCCCATCATCTCCATTTTTCCTTTCCACATTTACAGGAATCTACATAAACTTGATTATGGCTCCTATTGGAAAAAAAATTTTTTTAAGTTCTTTTAAAAGGAAAAAAGGACAAGAAAAAAGCCAGCAGCTTGGGCTAACCAAGATAGATGCTGGTGCTGTCACTTTTACACCATGCCTTTTAGGCACCACTGGCTTAATTAAAGATGTAAGTGACCAGTAACTTGTGAGAATGAGACACTCAATTGGAAAGACATGAGGAAACTGTGTACATAATAGAGTTACTCAAGAGCCGTAAGTGAAAGCAGGGGCATCACTAATGGCGGGATTGGGATTATTTTCATTTCACACATCCACCCTCAGGAATGCCCTGTATCAGTTTTGCATTGCTGCTATAATGAATTACACAAACTTAATGGCTTAAGGCAGCACACATTTATCATCCCACAGTTTTGTGGGCCAGGAGTCTGGGCAGCCTCAGCCGGGTTCTCTGCTCAGGGTCTCACCAGGCTGAGGTCCAGGTCTGGCCAGTCTGGGATCTCATCTGGAAGCTCTGGGGACAGCCCACCTCCAGACTCATTTAGATACTGGCAGAATTCAGTTCCATGTGGTTGTACAACGGAGGTCCCTGTTTCCTTGCTGGCTGTTGGCCGGGAATAATTCTCAGCTTCTAGAGGCTTCCCTTATTCCTTGACTCATAGCCTCCTCCATCTTCACATCTTCAAAACCAGCAAGAGTGCATCCAGTCCTTCTCTTGCTTCTAATCTCTCTGAATTCTTTTTCTTCCCTCAGACAGGAGAAAGCTCTGTTTTAATGACTAATGTGATTATACTGGGCCCACCCTGATAATCCAAGATAATCTCCCTATTTTAAGGTTAACTGATTAGCAACTTGAGTTAATCTGCAAAGTGTCTTTAGCCGTGTAACATAACGTATTCACAGGCATGAAAGTGGGGGATGGAGATCATCGGGGCCAAAATTCTGCCTATTACACCCACCCAACACACAAAGCTTCGTGAGTCCAGGTCTTCTATAGTTGTGCTAACCCTTAGCTCACTGAGTTGATGAACTTCAAAATGCATATAAAACTAGACAGAAATACATCACTTCTATTTTTCTTCTAGAATTATGCTTTTAAAAAAAATTCATAAGGGATCTGATTTCTGGTATGAAGGGAAATGCAAGGGGATTGTCATCGGGTGGGAAAGGTTGAAGGGACAGGTGTGTGATAATCACTCACTGCAAGAGGAAGGGAGGTGGGCTTTGCAGAGACTGAGGTCACCCACCTGAATCAAGGAGAGGAGGCTGCTAGGAGAGAAATAATGAGGTGAAAAGGATTATCTAAAACCTAATGACCATAGAAGGTAGCTTTACAGAAACTAGAAGAAAGCTTTTTTTCTCTTTAATTTTTAGACTAGGTAAAAAAGAAAAAAAAAAGAAGTATGCATTGAAAAAGATTTGTCTACTACGTGGAGTCTCTGCTAAATTTGGCCATGGTGTGTCAGCAATACTAGTAAGAGTCAACATTCACCGAGCATCCTGCGTGTGGCGGAACCATCCCCTTCAATCTGCAAACCTTACAGCAAAGATGCTGTGGGGTCGTCATCATCATCATGGTTTAAAGGTAAGAAAATGGAGCACAGGTACTGTTTAACACTTGCCCAAAGTCACACTGCTGCTAAAGCTTGAAGCCTGGATTAAAACCCCAGCAGTCTAACTCCGGAATTCATGCTCTTAAGCATCTGTATTCCTTTCAGGAAAACATCCTCCAGATTCAGCATGGGGCATCCTGAGGTGTAAACACTGTAGCAACAAGAGGCTGTGGAAATAATGAGGTCAGTCACAGCCTCTTGAGCCAGACATAGCCAGGAGATGCAAGCAAAGAGCTCAAAAAAGGCAGTGGTGTTAACTGTACATTTAAGACATAAGAGAAAGTGGACCAGTGATGGTGCCTACAAGCAAAGGCTGCATCTGCACAAACTGGAGGTTCCGATGATCCTGGCCTTTGTATGTAATTCTTCAGATAGCTGTTTCTAATTTATGTCAATTTTTTAAAAGTTGATTGAATTGAAAGGCTCTGAAACTGGAAACTGAAATTTATAGATTATCCAATAGAGAAAAACGAATCTTATGACTGAGACTTGTCCTTAGTTTTAGAATAATCCTGTACGGTTCTAGAAAGTTCCACAAAGTTTATGGACCATGTACTGTTCTGTCCAGAGATATCCACAAGAATAGGGCTGGTCCTCTTCTCATAACGCTAATTGCTGTATGGTCAGCTGAATTACGGCCCCCTCAAAGAGGTCACATCCCAATCCCCAGAACCTGTGAATTTGTTACTCTTTGTGGCAAAAGGGACTGTGCGGAGGTGATTAAGTCAATGATCTTGAGATGGGGAGGTTACCCTGGATTATCCAGGTGGGTCCAGTGGAGGGTCAGGGACAGAGATGTGCAGCAGAGGCAGAGGTCAGAGTGAGAGACTTGAAGATTCACGGCTGTTGGCTTTGAACATGGAGGAAGTGACTATAAGCCAAGGAATGCAAGTGGCCTCTAGAAACTGGAAAAGACAAGGAAATAGATACTCCCTGAGAGCTTCCAGAAGGAACACAGCCCTGCTAACACCTCGATTTTAGGACTTCTGGCTTCCAGATCTGAAGATAATAAATCTAAGTCACTAAGTTTGTGGTGACCTGTTAGAGCAACAACGGGAAACTAATACACCTGGTTGTATGTTTTAGTTATGCAAGCTCCTTAGCCTCTCTCATCTCAATTTTTTCCTCTGTTAAATGGGGGAGATATTCTCCCTTCACAGGACAGTAGTGAAGATGAAATATTACAAGGTAGGCATGAGACAAAAGGCCATTCCCTTCCCTTACTGTCACAGGCAGCACTTAGTTAAAAAGAGGTCTCCTGCCTCTTCAGACAACATTTCTTTTTTGTCTACCACTGGGTTTCTAGTGAAAGTGCGAGGAATGAGAGGGGAGATGACAGAGACTCCTGAATTTTGTCTCATTTATTGGAACTGCTTGGAGAGATTCTACCTTTTTATTTTTTATTTGAGCAACCCTAAATCAGGTATCAATATGAATAAGCTGGAGATAGGTTTGTGCAAATAAAATAATGGGAAATTAACATTTCACTACACAGAAGAGCACACTAATGCCTCATAAAACCTGCCAGCTGAGCATTAAAATACCTGTGCAAAGTCACACAACATAACTTGGCAGGTGGATCCCAGGCAGCTTACTTGGAAACACAATTGCCAAGTTTGGATGCTGAAGCGAGAAAAAGAAACCACTTCGCCAGCAGTTATCCGATTGTAGCGTGCTAAAACATCTTCCTGGACCTTCTGGTCCTAAAAAGTCTTTCCTGAGTCTTGAGGATTCATTTAGATTTCATTGCCTTTTGTCCCTGCCTCCAATTTATGGCACCCTACCAGCAGAAGTTTAAGTGACGGGCTTTAGCTGCTGTACCTTCACATCCCGTGACAGCTGAAAACAGCAGTGGAAACTTTCTTACCACGAAGTTTATTCTCTCCTGATGGCTCAATTGTGTTTAAATGCATACCAAGCTGAAACTACAAATAGAAATGTAGCCCAGGTTCTGCAAAATGACATTTTATTCTTTGGCTCTTCTCTCTGATAACTGTTTTTGTTATCCTATTAGCCAGATGCAGACAGATTCCGAAGTCATCTACACAATGCTTATATTCTTGTATCTTCTTTTCATGAAAATAGTGTTTACTCTCTCTCTTTGTGTGAGGATAAAAAATACAGATGAAGCGTTTCGGACACCTCTGCAGAAAAAATGCAAAGAGGCCACAATTAAACCTCAATCAAGGATAGTAATCTGGAAGTTGCAAATAAAATGTAACACGTGACATCATGGGTACAGAACCGAGGTTGCAAATAAGCTTCAGGAACTTGCATTTTCTGTAACTTGGGCTGGACCAAAGCTATGACTCAATCCTCCTCATCTGGTGGCATTTCTTTTTGCTTTGATTTTGGCTGTCTGGTTCACAGTTGTAGTGATAACAAAAGTCTTGCAATTTAAAAGCAATGAAATTCTCAGTTGATAGGGCCTGGGAAGCTATAATGGGCAAATCTGATTGGGTTACAAACAAGTTCACTCTCCAAGAAGGCAGCAGGAAACTCGGATGCTGCAGCTGCCCACCGACCAACCAGATCACCGCTGAACGCCACATCTGCAAAGATAATTAAACTGTAATTAAACGCTGTGTCCCTCTTTAAGCAATGGATCACGCAATTTAAGCACTCTTCCGCTGGGATTGGACAGTCACGTGTCCTGGGGTAAAAAACAACTTTGGATTGATTTTGCTTCACTGTGTAAACAAGTAAATAAAATAATCCATTTGAGAGGCAAACAGCAAAAGTAACAGGCCTGCTCCGCCCCAAACTCAGTCTAAATGAAATTTGCATTGCATATGGCTGCTTAAGATCACATCCAAAAGATAAAGGATAGAGTGTAGCAGAGGAAAACACCCCCAGCCAAGGAAGGGTTGAGGTGGTTGGCCCTGAGGACAGGATCTCAGTTTCTCAAGAAATTAATGATAAAGGAAAGAATATTTTAAAGTAGAGACTTAGGGCTATCACCACTTTCCCCTCTGCCAATGGATGAACACATGCGCGTGCATGTGTGTGCGAGTGTACACGCACACACACAGACACACACGTCCTTTCCCTTTGGTGTCAGAGAGAATGGGAAGATGCTGAGATTTGCTGAGAATCACGCTGCTCAGGCACAGAAATCTAGCTTCCCATCCCTCACCTCTACATTTTGGCTCACACATTCAATCTCCATGTCCCTAAGCAGGCTTTTCCTCGCTCCAAAATTCAAGTGTTTATTGAAAGACTATATGAACAGATTTGTGTCATTAATTATGAAAGGACATGAAAAAATAAGAGAGATCATTCTGAGCATATATGTCAAGTTCTATACTAAAGGCTTTGTGTTAAATTAATCCTCATAACGACCTCACAAAGCAGGTTCTGCCTCTGATGTTCACCTCCTCCAAGAGGCCTCCTCTAACTATCCTCTCTAAAATACTCTACTCCCATCATATGGTCCTTCCCTGCCTATCACTAACGGGCACCACGGTACACCAGTTCTTGTTATTTCTTTATTGTCTTTCTCTGCCAGTAACATCTAAGTTCCTTAAAGTCATGGACTTATTTTATTCACTGAGTATTTGTGGACTCTTCTAATGAATTATGACCTGCGGCTCAAAAACATATATTAACTTATCAAAGATAGTAGAGCTTATGGCGGAGCTAGGATCCAAATTTTAGTCCATTTGAATCAGAGCCTCAATCTCCAGTTTTAGATTACAAATCAGACGAAGGCCTTCTCCCCTTAGACAAGGCCTGCTGCTGCTCTGCATAGTTATGCTTTTAATAAATACGGTTGTAAAACAATCAAGAAGCAAGGTTTCAAAAGGCCAGAGATCCAAGTTCTTTTTTTTTTTTTTCCTTCCCTAAAGCCCCAGTAGA